TTAATTAATGACTTGACCTTTAACTAACACAAACTGCCTCTCACTGAGGTTGAATCTTTTTAATCACAGGTCAATAAAAGTCAAGTTTTTTTTTTCTAGAAGAACTCCATATTTTTAATGATTTTTCAAATACTAAAAACAAACAAATTGTACTTTCATGGAGGGAGCAGTTAAATATTTGACCAATAGGATTTCTGATAAAATGACGGTAAATTCTCACCTCGTCAATAAATGACTTCACCAAAGTGTCTTTATGTGTGACGTCCTGGAATATGTTCCTGACGAGGAAAGCAGTGGTGGTCGTCAACAACAACAACAACAACAACAACAACAACAACAACAACGTGAGGGTGTCACCCACAGGTCAGGTGTGAAGCTCTCGTCAGTGTGAATGACTGTGTCTGGAGGGATGTCTTCCTCACTGAACGTCTTCCACAACGCGCTGAGCTCTGACCTCATGTAGCATCTCTGGTTGTACGTGTGCTCGTGGCACGGCGGCATCTGCTTCACGGTGTTGATGTCCACGTCGATGTGAGTGGTGGGGTACGGAGAGTAGAGAACCTGACGGAAGGGCAGGACGAAGCTTCCTGTGGAGTCCTGAAAAATAAAACAATCACTGAAAGCAAAGCTAACTGTCCGTAGCCTGTTGGCTAAAGGCTAAAAAAGCCAAAGTATTTGTAGTACAACAAAAAAAAATTGCTCCAATTAAAAAAAACCCTGAGGTTTAAAGGTCCGGGGCGTGGGCCAGGGAAGAGCAGAATTAGTTTGTGTGCTGGTGTTATTAAAGGAGTTGTTTTATAACGACAGGATGTGAGACTTGTCCTAAAGGTCACTTAGAGCAGAAGTATCACTGAAGTACAGAAGTACTTCCTCTGTCCAAGAGGAAGTACTTTCAAATCAGAGGAAACAGTGGAGTCTTGAATTCTGTAGCTACTCAGAAAAAACTGCATTAGACCAGATGTGAGTGAATGGGAGTATTCGATGTACTGTGTCCTGTATACTACTACTGTATACATGTTGTACTGCATGGCATTAAAGGTTCAACTGTTTTTCTTTTACAAAATAATTGACATGATTATTAAGAGTCCCAATAAAAAACATGCTGCTGCCCCCTGCTGGTCACTGGTCACTGGTACCTTCAGCAGTCCCTGGACGAACAGACCAGTGTCGTATTTAAAGGACGAGTCCGTCCTACAGAGTCGGGAACACTTCCTCTCTGCTGGGGTGAGGAAGAGGCAGAGAGTCCGCACAATCTAAGGAGAGAGAGAGAAAGAGAGAGAGAGGGAGAGAGAGAGAGAAGGAGAGAGAGAGAGAGAGAGGGGGAAAGAGAGAGAGAGA